AATAATAGTAATGCATGACCTCTTATGACTTTTCTGAAGAGAAAACAAACTGTCTTACCTGGATAAAGAAATCTGATTACTTGTTTTGTTATATTTCCACCTTTTTTCTAGCAGTAATATATTGTCAGTAATACAGACTTTTAATAATATCTGCTTGTGTCGCAGAAGGCAAATAGTGACTGAATTGCTGATCGGTTTTGTCGAGAGTGACATTGGTTAATAAGTTACAAGTAAATCAATATCACACTCACTATCCGTTGTGATCGGGTCCAAGGCCAGCTGGAAGTCAGAGAAACAGCAGGTGTTTTATAGCTTTTATTTTGATCAAAGCAAAAACATGATTATAATGACAAAGCTGTTTAAGCAAAGCAGTCAGAAGACTTGATTTGCTCACTTCACTTCCATCAGTTGAATTGCTGAATCATACAATTTTTTTTCTGTCCTCAGGCATAGATAATTTTTCACTAGAAGGCTCATCACTGGTCAGTAACATGCACTTCATCAAATTAGTATAAAGATTATATATATATTTTTTTTAATCTAAATAACGTCTTCATGGCCAATTAAAAATGTCACTCACATTGGAGCAGTTTAATGGCTTTTGGTTTTGCTTATTGGTGTAATTATTATACTGCCTAGTGTATTTTGTAATATCAAGTCAGGTCACTTTTATTTTTATGGCACTTTTTTTTTTTTACTTGTATAGCTCTATGAGACAGTAGCATTATGATTCAGTTCAAGTCAGTTTAGTTTAGTGTCATATCTTTTCATGACTCTTTGAACCTGACATGGCTTATTCTGCTAATTATTATGTGAATGGGTAATAATAGTCTTCTGTATTCATTCACCTGCACTTTGCTTAATGTTGGACAGCATTTAGTTTTTCAAATAGCGCTTTTAATGATAGTTAAAATATTAAATTGCAATACTTAGGGCTGCACGATATATCGAAATATCGCAAATGTACATATCGTGATATACATATCAAAAACGGCATGCAATATCAGAATTCTTTTAAAAATAGGCTACTTCAAAACGTTGGGAAAAGTCAAAGTTTTAGGATGACGCATATGCCACAGAATAGACACGCCACTGTTACTTATGTGACTTGTTTGACATTAAAAATAGTTATTAAGTGCAGTAAGAGGCAGAAAACAACTCCTTGCTGTCTGACACACACCTGAAGCCTCCTCTCGGACAGCGTGTGATCCCTTCAAGTTTTCTTTCACATAGTTATGTCCAAATGCCTGTCTTGATGAGTATTCATGTAAACACAGTCGGTTACATCTTAAGAGAATGTGAACAGTTGGGAAAGAAATCGGATTTGGAGCAATAGGATCCCAGCAGACTAAAACAGTAAACCTGCAGCTGTCTGTCAAACAACAAAAGAAAAAGAGAAAATCACTCACTGCTCTTGACTGAATAACCTTATAGCTTTATTATGAACCAATTAATATTTAATTCATGTGAAGACTAAGCAGTGTTTGAGTTTTGCATTTGATTATTCAGTTTCTGTATTGTTTCTTAAAGGGGTCATAGGATGCCCATTTTCCACAGGTTGATATGATTCTTTAGGGTCTTAATGAAAAGTCTGTAACATAGT